TGTGTATATGTGTATATGTATGTGTGTGTTTGTATGTGTATATATGTGTGTATGTGTGTATGTAGATGTGTTTGTATGTATGTGTGTGTATGTGTGTGTATGTATGTATGATACATGTGCATAGGTGTGTATGTGCTGTGTGGTATGTGTGTGAAGATCATTTTTATAGAATTGTTTCTCTCCTTCCATCTCTATATGAGTCCAGAGATCAAACTCAGGTGGTCAGCCTTGTGTGGCAAGTGCCTTTAACCAGGAAGCCATGATGCCAGCCCGGGAACTCTGATTTTAAACTAATTCTAAAACAGACCTTTTGGACACCTCGGGTTTACGTTAAGTGTGGAGTGGAGGTATTTGTTTGAGGCTTTTAGGAAACATAGTTTCACTGTGTAGCCTTGAGCTTGCTTCCTGCCGCTGCTTCCAGGAGTCCACTCCCCTATACAGCTCAATGTGACCAATATAATGTTGCTTAGAGGGTAAGAATTCAGGTCAAGCATGGTGGCACATGGGTTTAATTCCAGCACTCAGGAGGCAGAGATTGGCAGGTCTCTTGAGTTTTAGCAGAGCTGGGCTACACAGAGAAAATCCTATCTCTCCCCTTTCCCCCCCATTCCCTCCCCCCATCCTCTGACTGCCCCCCCCCATTCCCTATGACAGGAATCTTGACAAACTAACATGATCATTCATAATCAGTTACCTCTGGGATAGATAGACTATGGAGAGCCAGAACGTGTTGCCCAAGGCACAGAGACAGAAAGATCTGAGAATGACTTCATAAAGAGCACACAGTTTCAAGGCCTGGGGAATAGGGGAGTGAAAGGCCAGAAAGAGGAGGAAATCCAAAAAGACTGAGCTAGGTTATAAAATAGATAACAAGATATATGTAAGACACTCATGCCATTTGTTTTACCTCCCATTAGCCATGTTGGTCACACCCTGATTTAAGAAGCCAAGGTGTCTGGTGGGAAATCTTAGCTTCCTGGACTGTCCAGGCGTTTGATCCATCACACACAACTGAGTATTAGAAACCTATAGCACAGATAGCTGAAGAGCAATCATGAAGAGTTGATGGTTAACCTCTTGATGCAACAGTAAATGAGATGACACAATTAATTTGTTGCTTCCAGCAGAGAAGCAAGCCCTCTAGTCAAAGACGATGAGGGGAGGCTTTTGCAAGAGGTATCAGCTGGACTGGGTCTTGAAAAAAAAAAAACACGAAAGGAACTTGAATCAGAAAAAGAAAGTCAGGGGAGGAAACTCTTGGTATGCCTGGGAAACTTAAGAGAAGTGGGTAGCATAAACAGTGTTCGGATGGCACTGGGTACAGTACCGCACAGCCTGGCTTCTCCACTGTGAACACTGTATGTACCCTGAGTCCAATGACAAGAGTTCAGGAAGATAATATTCTTTCTCTGGTCTCTGTCTCCTTGTCAGGATGCTTTCCAAAAAATACTAATGCTCAACTAACCCAATCGGAGAATTGGGGTATGACATTGGAACATCTTCCTAATGCTAAATTCAGACTGTGTGGATGGATTGACCGGAGAGACATTGAAATCTAAGTGAACTTTAAATAAATTTGTTTTCTTCTTTCAGGAAGACAGGAAACAGTATGCTGCCAGACCTTGCTTCCTGTTCTACTGTCCGTAAGCTAATATAAAGTCAACGTACACGCCTTCCTCTAAGTCAAAATCAAACCAAAGAACAAATTTCTGTTTGCATCTATTTTGCACCACAACTTGTACACATTAATTTCTAATAATAAGAGTCTAATAATAAGTTAACGGCAACACAGAACCATTTATATTTTAGTAGCAAAAAAGCAGAGGGAAGGAAGCCTAAAAGAACATTCTGTTTTAAAGGGGAAATGTTTTTAACCCGCTTTATAGAAGTCATCATATTCTGGGCCCTTCCTGCCTGTCTCAGACAGTCTCTGGTGCCTGTAAGGACAAGTTACAACTGTTAAAACAGTTTTACTGTCCTGACAGCAGGTCTCTGAGGCCAGTTGAACATTTGGTACTACATCCCAGGAACTTCAAGAAAGGGATATCTAAAAATGTATTTCCATT